CTGAGCCACACAGTGGACACGAACACTGCTCACATCCATCCTCCAAACACGCACACTCTTATCCTGAACACACACACGCACACGCAAACGCACACGCAAACACACACACACACACACACACACACACACACACACACCACACACACACACACACACACACACACACACACACACACACACACACACACGGGTTATTACAGCTTCATAAAATCTTATATTTCACTTCACAAGTGCATTTCCATTTCCAGCACTTCACGCGAGGAAAATTAGATATTTAAATATTATATCAGATACTATTTCAGGGTATTTATACTTTACATGTACATAAACCCTGTCATATACATACCTTGTATATATACACCGTATATATACCCTATACCATATACACCCTATATATATATATATATATATATATATATATATATATATATACACACACACACACACACACACACACACACACACACACACACACACACACACCCTGTACCATATATACACCCTATATACACAGTTTACATATACCCTATAGCCTTATTACCCTATATATACTGTGTACCCTATACCATTTATACCCTATATACAACAAATATCATATATACCCTATATAAACCCGTTAACCTATACCATATTTACTTTATAAATACCGTTTAAACACTCTATATATGTCCTATAGACTATTACATATATACCCTAAATATTGAATATATATATATCCTATACCATATATACCTTATATATACCGTATACCCTACATCCCCTATGGATACCATAAATATACTCTATACCCTATACCATATATATATACCTTACATACATACCCTATATATACTGTATATATACTGCACGCCACATATACACCCTAAATAAAGTATAAACCCTATAGCCTTTAAACTCTATAAATATTATATATATATATATATATATATATATATATATATACATACAGACACACACACACCCTACATAAACTGTATGTATACCCTATATATACTGTGTGTATATATATATATATATATATATATATATATATACACACTCTCACACACTCTATACCATATATACCTTTTACATACCGTAATCCTCCCCTATATATACCCTATAGCCAATACCACATACCCTATATATAGCCTATACAGTGTATATATACACCCTATACCATATATATCTTTTACATACCACATATACCACATCACATAAACCCTTTATATATATATATATATATATATATACTATGCGCGTTATATTAATAGTATTTCAGCATATATACAGGTATCAGACAGTGAAATTTAATACCTTTTAAAACCTCATCATCACCACTTTAGGTTTCAACCGGTAACCATGGTGACATTTTAACTTGAATTGTATTTACGAAATACTGATTATAAGAAACTAATCATAAATTAAAACATTATTCATACACTGATTAAAAATGCTAACCCATCAGGGGGCGCTAACAGCAAAAGTAATAACGGTGTTTGCCTGGTTATAGCTGTAAACAAAGCAGCGTGACGAGAAATCTAGCAGATTTTATTATTGATTTCATAAACTACACCCCATCCTGATATTCGCTCATTAAAATCAGGCAAACGTTATTATACAACTAAACACTGTACAGTCAAATACAACACAAAAATGACACCTTGCAAAATAGCAGTTTTAAGACTTTTTAAGGGTCTTAAATTTCTTTAAATTGATTTATCAACTTTGAATACTTTTTAAGAGCCCGCGGAAACCCTGTATTTGTTTTAATATTCTATATTGTACAGTAAAAATTGAAATACAGTCATTTACTCTCTTTATTAAGTGCTTTGAAATCTTCATTTTTTATTAAATGATTTTTTTATTAGATGTAATCTTAACTGACACATAAAAAGAGGGCGGGGCATGCAGTAGCCCCTCCCCTTAAAACATAAATAAAATGATAAAACTATTATTTATTTTTGTTAACCATTATTTTAGTTTAGTTATTTTTTCAGTGACTAGTTATTTTTAGTGTTTAATTTATTGTGATTTATTTCAGTTAATAAAAGCGTTTTGACCAGTAGTTTTAGAGTCTTCATTATTATTAATAAGACGGTTGTGAACAAACAGATATTCTGCATAACTCTCTCTCTCGAAGAAGAAGCCAACAATTCACCTTTGCACAGGTCGCAAACATGCTGCCTTTGCGGAAGACGTCGATGGATAAGATGGTATCTGTGGAAAGATCATGAGATAATCTTAATCAGTCAGAATTTCAACAATGCAGACGCTTCATATTAACCCTTTACAGGACACGCACTCAAACACTCACCGTCAAGAATTATAAATGTGTATATTGCATTAAATAGAATTCAAAAACAATATTCTATCCGTCCATCTATAGAGCAGATCAGTCTCAAAGATAATACAATTACAAAGTGAAATTCATACACAATTCATCAATTCAAAACACAATTTGTGAATTCAAGTAGAAAATCAGTTGTGTTTTTCAATGACTTGTGTATTCATGAATTGTGTTTTGAATTTACAAATAGTATTTTGTATTTCCGAAATGTGTCTAGCCTATTTTACGAACTGTGTCTTGTAAAATTAGGAACTGTGTCGTGAATTTACGAAATGTGTTTTGTATTTATGAATTGTGTGTTGTGTATTTACAATTTGTGTGTTGTGAATTCACATATTGTGTTTTGCATTTACAAATTGTATTTACGCACTGTGTCTTGTGAATTTACAAACTGTGTCTTGTGTATTTATGAATTGTTATGTGAATTTATTAATTGTGTCTTGTGAATTTACAAATTGCATTTGTGTATTTACGAACTGTGTTTTGGGAATTTACTAATTGTTTTGTGTATTCACGAACTGTGCTTTGAGTATTTTACAAATTGTGTTTTGAATATTTACGAATTGTGTATTTACGAATTGTGTTTTGTGTATTTACGCATTTCATTTGTGTATTTACGAATTGTGTTTTGTGTATTTACGTATTGCATTTGTGTATTTACCAATTGTGTTTTGTGTATTTACGAATTGTGTTCTGTGTATTTACGAATTGCATTTGTGTATTTACGAATTGTGTTTTGTGTATTTACGCATTTCATTTGTGTATTTACCAATTGTGTTTTGTGTATTTACGAATTGGGTTTTGTGTATTTACGAATTGCATTTGTGTATTTACGAATTGTGTTTTGTGTATTTACGAATTGGGTTTTGTGTATTTACGAATTGGGTTTTGTGTATTTACGTATTGCATTTGTGTATTTACGAATTGGGTTTTGTGTATTTACGTTTTGCATTTGTGTATTTACGAATTGGGTTTTGTGTATTTACGTTTTGCATTTGTGTATTTACGAATTGTGTTTTGTGTATTTACGCATTTCATTTGTGTATTTACGAATTGTGTTTTGTGTATTTACGTATTGCATTTGTGTATTTACCAATTGTGTTTTGTGTATTTACGAATTGGGTTTTGTGTATTTACGAATTGCATTTGTGTATTTACGAATTGGGTTTTGTGTATTTACGTATTGCATTTATGTATTTACTAATTGGGTTTTGTGTATTTACGAATTGCATTTGTGTATTTACGAATTGTGTTTAGTGTATTTACGTATTTCATTTAGTGTATTTACGTATTTCATTTGTGTATTTACCAATTGTGTTTTGTGTATTTACGTATTGCATTTGTGTATTTACGAATTGCATTTGTGTATTGACAAACTGTGTTTTGTGAATTCAAAACATTTAATGAAGACACAAAAAAATGTGTGAACTTTACGAATTATGTTTTCAATATTTATGAATTGTGTTTTGAATATTTACGGATTTTCTTTTGAATATTTACAAATTTCGTTTTGAATTAACAATTTGGATTTGTGTATTTACAAATTGTGTTTTAAATTTATAAATTGTTTTGTGAATATACAAATTGTGTTTGTGTATTTACGAATCGTACTTTGAATCTTTACAAATTGTGTTTTTAATTGGATTTGTGAATTTACGAATGGCTTTTTGTATATTTACCAACCGCGCTTAAACAAACTGAGTTTACAAAATTGTTTTGTGTATTTTTAAAAATTTTACAAATTGTGTTTTGAATATTTAAGAATGGAGTTTTGACTTTACAATCTGGATTTGTGTATTTAGAAATTGTGTTTTGTGTATTTACGAATTGATTTGTGAATTTTCAAACTGTGTTTTGATTTCCAAACGTTATTTTGTAAATGTTTTCTTTTTAAGATTGATCTGGTTCCAAAATCTGTGCTTAAAAACTACGCAATACTCCCAATAAACTGACCAATAAACTAGTAGCATTTTCGTGTTTTACGGTCACAAGACATCCAGCTAGTCGTTTACGTAGACAGATCACTTACTTCATGTTTATTTATATAGCGATTTTCATAATTCTTTCCAAAGCAGCTTTACAAAGGGTGCACAATATTACAATCAATTGCAATCAGTCAAGCATACGCAGTTACGTTTTTTCTCTCTCTCTCTGTTGTAACGGAGTGTTTATAAGAAGGTCTGATGCATATGAAGAGGAAAGAAAGTGTTTACACAAACCCGGCGTGCTGTTTGGGGATGCTTAATGATCTGTGCTGATTATAATAGTGAATAAGACGGGGTATTTTCACACACACACACACACACACACACACACACACACACACACACACACACACACACACACACACACACCAACAGGTATGAAAGCGTCACTATTTATAAAACTCTCTGATTAATTCTTTTCCTCTAAACACAGAGCAAACTACACTACACAGCTTTCAGTTCCGTCCGGACATGTTAACTTCACAGTAGCTGATTCAAGTGTAAGTTTCAGGCTTGACGATTATCAATATTTAAATAAGATGTTAATTAATTATTTGAGTACTCTTTTACTGTGACTTGCCTATCAACGCTTAAGATTTAGTGATGTGTGTGTGTGTGTGTGTGTGTGCCGCCCTCTAGTGTTCACTCACCGGTGTGTCCGTGCAGGATCTGGCAGCTGTTGGTGCTCAGCTCAAACACCTTCAGCTGAGAGCTGTTGGTGGCCACTGCGATGTGTGTGTCGTCCTTCCCCACAAACTTCACATCCAGCACATCGTCATTGTAGCCCACGAACTGCAGGAACACGAGAAGAAGAAAACACACTTCAGCAGGCAGCGTAATGCATGACAGACACTCAAAACTGTGTCAGATCACATCATTATTGCAGCAGTTTACCCGATTACTGCCCTAAACTGCTCCTGATTTGGAGCTGTAAAAACAGTCCATGCACACGCATTGACAGAGAGAGTGTGTGTGTGTGTGTGTGTGTGTGTGTGTACCTGCTGCTGTACAGCGAGTGTGGGCGTCTGGTACAGCAGGATGTTGTGTTCTGCAGTGACTGTGATCAGTCTGCCGGTGCGGGGCAGCAGCAGGAGCTGCAGGAGGCCCAGGCGCTCTTCGTCTTCAGCATCTTCATCTTCAGTGTGAGACGAAGCATCAGGCAGAGTCTGGGTGAACACACAGCGGGACGAGGAGCTGTCCCACACACGCAGGACACCTGGAGAACAGGAACACACACACACACACACACATCAATGAGGGTTTTTGTGATGCACAGCTTTGAGTCTGAGAGATGTGTGTTGAAGCAGTTTACGTCAGTTATACATCTATATATACACTCACCGGCCACTTTATTAGGTACACCTACTAATACCGGGTTGGACCCCTTTTGCCTTCAGAACTGCCTTAATCCTCGATGTCAGAGATTCAATAAGCTACTGGAAATATTCCTCAGAGATTTTGCTCCATATTGTCATGATAGCATCACACAGTTGCTGCAGATTTGTCGGCTGCACATCCATGATGCCAATCTCCCGTTCCACCACATCCCAAAGCTGCTCTATTGGATTGAGCTCTGGTGACTGTGGAGGCCATTTGAGTACAGTGAACTCATCGTCATGTTCAGCAGTCTGAGATGATTGAGCTTTATGACATGCTGCGTTATCCTGCTGGAAGTAGCCATCAGAAGATGGAGACACTGTGCTCATAAAGGGATGGACATGGTCAGCAGCAATACTCAGGTAGGCTGTGGCGTTGATGCTCAATTGGTACTAATGGACCCAAAGAAAATCTCCCCCACACCATTACACCACCACCACCAGCCTGAACCGCTGATACAAGGCAGGATGATCCATGCTTTCATGTTGTTGAGGCCAAATTGTGAGCCGAGCATCCGAATGTGTGAGCAGAAATGGAGACTCATCAGAGCAGCAACGTTTCTCCAATCTTCTATTGTCCAGTTTTGGTGAGTCTGTGTGAATTGTAGCCTCAGTTTCCTGTTCTTAGCTGACAGGAGCGGCACCCGGTGTGCTCTTCTGCTGCTGTAGCCCATCCGCCTCAAGGTTGGACGTGTTGTGTGTTCAGAGATGCTCTTCTGCAGAGCTCGGTTGTAGCGAGTGCTTATTTGAGTTCCTGTTGCCTTTCTATCAGCTGGAACCAGTCTGGCCATTCTCCTCTGACCTCTGGCCTCATCAACAAGGCATTTGCGCCCACAGAACTGCCGCTCACTGGATATTTCCTCTTTGTCGGAGCATTCTCTGTAAAGCCTAGAGATGGTTGTGCGTGAAAATCCCAGTAGATCAGCAGTTTCTGAAATACTCAGAGCAGCCCATCTAGCAGCAACAACCATGCCACGTTCAGAGTCTCTTAAATCCCCTTTCATCCCTATTCTGATGCTCGCTTTAAACTGCAGCAGATCGTCTTGACTATGTCTACACGCCTAAATGCAGTGAGCTGCTGCCCTGTGATTGGCTGATTAGACATGTGCGTCAAGGAGCAGTTGGACAGGTGTACCTAATAAAGTGGCCGGTTGGTTCTATATTCTGGAATGTGAGATGTTTATTTTAGAGATGCCGTCTGATGAAGAGGGTGAAAGTCAGGCTTGTTTCCTATTAGTCAGTCCAGCAGGTGGCGCTGATCAACAGCAGTTCACACTCATCATGGGTAATTTAGCGTTCTATGCAAAAGCTCTACAGATGGAGCAGTGCTGTGATGTGAACCTGTGTTTACCTTTACTGCCAGCCGTGACCAGGTGTAACGCGTCACTCTTCACTCCCATCTCTGAGTAATCAGCGGAGCCCGACAGGAGAACCACACCTTCCACAGCCTGAACACACACACACATACACAACACTCAGTACAGCACACACACCACAGTATTACCACGGTACACTGATTATTGTCAGGCTGACCTCATAGACCGGGATGGTCCTCTTCACCTTCTGCTCCTGCAGGTCCCACACAGAACAGATCTTATCTCTGCCAGAGCTGAAGGAGACAGAGAGAGAGTGTGTGTGTGTGTGTGTGTGTTAATGTTTGCTCATACTCAAGGCTCAAGGATCTGGTCTTCGCAAAGGCCTGCTCTGCTCTGATTGGTCAGACTCAACTCTGCTCTGATAGGTCATGTGATTCTACTCTCCCCTGATTGGTCAGGCGACTCTGATTGGTCATGCGAATCTACTCTTGATTAGCCACAGGATTCTACTTTCCTCTGATTGGTCAGACGACTCTGCTCTGATTGGTCAGACGACTCTGCTTTGCTCTGATTGGTCAGTCCACTCTGCTCCGATTGGTCATGCGACTCTACTCTTGATTGACCACGTGATTCTACTCTCTTCTGATTGGTCAGATGACATTACTCTAATCTGATTGGTCAGGCGAATCGGCTCAGATTGGTCTGGCGACTCTGCTCTGACTGGATAGGCCACTCTGCTCTGATTAGTCAGATGACACGGCTTTGCTCTGATTGGTCAGGCAACTCTGATTAGTCATGTGACTACTCCTGATTGGCCACGTGATTATACTTTCTTCTGATTGGTCAGATGGCACTACTCTGCTCTGATTGGTCATGTGATTCTACTCTCCCCTGATTGGTCAGGGGACTCTACTCTTGATTGGCCACTTGATTCTACTTTCCTCTGATTGGTCAGACTACTTAACTCTGTTTGGCCACTTGATTCTACTGTTCTACTTTCCTCTGATTGGTCAGAAGACTCTGCTCTGATTGGTCAGGCGACTGCTTTGCTCTGATTGGTCAGGCAACTCTGATAGGTCATGTGACTCTACTCTTGATTGACCATGCGATTTTACTCTCTTCTGATAGGTCAGATGACATTACTCTGCTCTGATTGGTCGGGCAAATCGGCTCAGATTGGTCAGCCAACTCTGCTTTGCTCTGATTGGTCAGGCAACTCTGCATTGCTCTGATTGGTCAGGCAACTCTGCATTGCTTTGATTGGTCAGACGACACGACTTTGCTCTGATTGGTCAGGCAACTCTGATTAGTTATGTGACCACTCTTGATTGGCCACGTGATTATACTTTCTTCTGATTGGTCAGATGACATTACTGTGCTCTGATTGGTCGGGCGATTCAGCTCTGACTGGACAGGTGACTCGACTCTTGATTGGCCATGTGATTCTACTCTCTTATGATTGGTCAGATGGCACTACTCAGCTCAACTACGACTGGTCGGGCGGCTCAACTTTGATAGACCATGTGATGGTCTACTCTGCTCTGATTGGTCAGATATATCAAAACAATCAGTAGATTTACCTGCTCTTTAATTTTTTTAAATTACACAGAGCTTCACATTCACAAACGCAGAAAGGCATAACAGCAGCAGTGTAAACACTAGGTTATGCACACTAATAACTCTTCTTCTCTGATTGTGACTGTAATGTGCACCGTCAGGCTGTTAAAATGAAACTAATAAACCTGATGGACTGACTGATCATGAGGGAACATGCGAGATCCGGCATTGACGCGTGATGTTTAAAAGCGCACCTGACGAGTGTGTGTCCGTCCGGGGAGAACGCGAGCGCAGTGACGGGGCTGTAGTGGCTCTCCAGCACACACACACAGCGGCTGGAGCGCAGGTCCCAGATGCGGATCGCACAGTCTGAGGACGAGGAGAAGAGCTGCAGCCGGCTGATGTCTGGGTGAAACTCCACCAAACTGCAGGACACACACACACACACACACATTAATGTTCACACACACAGTAGGAAAAACAAATACTATGGAGGTCAATGGTTACAGGCTTCCAACATTCTTCAAAATATCTTCTTTATCGTTTAACAGGAACACTAAAGGTGTATAACAGGTAAAACGTGAGTAAATGCTGAGAGAGTGTTCATTTTTGGGGTGAACGGCCCCTTTAAGGTGTAAGGCTGATCTCAGAGCAGTCTGTTTCAGGGCTTCTGCTGCACTTACTGCACGACGCCAGAGGAGCCTTTGAGGTTGTGTGTGCAGTACTGCTTGATCACGTCCCACAGTTTGATGGTGCCGTCACAGCCGCCTGCAAACACAAACAACAACAACAACCGAGTCAGAAAAAGCTGTACTCAAGTGCAGAACTCATCCACATACAACACAGGACATGTTTACAGTGCAAACACAGTGGAAGAATTGATCAAGTTAGGAACCCTTTACAGCAGAGGTCACCAATCTCAGTCCTGGAGCTCCAGTGTCCTGCAGGGTTTATCTCCAGCTTGCCTCAACACACCTGCCTGGGTGTTTCTAGTACACCTAGTAAGAGCTTGATCAGCTTGTTCAGGTGTGTCTGATTAGGGTTGGAGCTAAACTCTGCAGGACACCGGCCCTCCAGGAACAAACCCTCCAGAATATAATCCAGCCTTCACCTGTAGCCAGCAGTGTGGAGGTGCAGTCGAAGCTCATGCTGGCCACGGGCACACTGTGAACGGCCCTCCAGGAGCGACGACACTGCTGCTGCTTCCAGTCCCACTGCCTGAGGAGCAGAGCCCTGCTGGCGCTCACTAACATCTGAGGAGGAGCACGGAGAGAGGAGCACACTCAGCCATGCGGCACACTGCTCATAACGCTGCCATCACTCATCAAGAGTGTGGGTCTTGCTTCTAAATATCTGAAAACTCTTAAATGAAGAAGCATTTTCCAGACGAGCAGAAAATATTGTGTGTTCAGAAGTAATGAGTCAAAATGAAGAGAGTTTCTCCTTAAGACACGCAGAACGATCAGCTGATGGGCTGATAATAACAGCTAGTCTGATGCTGGATGGTCTCACCTCATCATCAGGGCTGAGAGCGAACGCTGTGATGTCCTCCTGATCCTCCTGTTCAAACAGAAGGTAAGACGGTGGTTATTAGGACAGAAAGGGAGTAAATAGTGAGTCAGGCCGTACTCACACTATGTACAGTTGCCTCAAACCAGGCCAAAGCACGCTTGTCCCCCTCCCGTCTCCCCCAACGGCCCACGCTCACACCACAAACGGGCTTCGGCACCCTTACGTCATCGCTGCTGCGCTGTTCAGTGAGAAGCGCTCTCAGCAGCACAGTGGAGATTTCTCTAGTTATACCGTGTCAGTGGTTTGATATGCAGTCAGATATTTCGCCAAACAGTCCTTAGGGATGCGGGGACACGCAGTCAGATATTTCGCCGAACAGATCCGCCACTTTTGGCGCTCATAAACAATCATAAAGCCCTCGTGCTGCAGGAATGAGGAGGTCTGCTGAAGGTGCAGCTGTCATGCAGTGAGGGGTTTGCGTCTTTAATAAACTACAGCAGTTTGCGTTCACTGAACAGTCAGAATGATTAATAAATCCATATGAAACAGCCCCTTAAAAGTCACGTCTCGCTTTCAGTTTTGGGCCAAAGCCCAAGCCCAAGTGAACCGTGCTTAGGCATACCTCTTCCAACCGGGCCAGGGCCGGACAAGTGAACCGTGCTTGAGCCCGATTCAGCGCACTCACACTTCTCAAATGATCCGGGAAACGGGCCTGGGCACGGTACGGATGGCATAGTGTGAGTACACCCTCAGGTTTCATCTGTGGGTGAATTATCCCTTTAACTCAGGTGAAGTGCAGAGATCTGATAGATTTTAAATGAACAGTTTGTTTGTGTGTTTTTGTAGTTCTTTGCACAATGAATAAAGACACTTTTACCTTGTAAAACTGTTTGTGTCTGTGTCAAATTTGTATAACTACAGAAAACAGATCATATATATATATATATATACATATTAATGATGGGCAAATAAACGTGTTATTATTGCTTTACGCATTAATTAATGGCAACAATAATTTTATGCTGTCTGGCATAGCTTAACTTCTATTACAATTTAGGTTAAGTCCCGGCAGTGGCAAATATCTGTGGTTGTAAATTTAAAATATAAAAAAATAGGTTAACTGCTAAAATATTATGGGAATATGTTTGTTTTGATGCAGTTCATACATGCACTTATTTTAAAATCATGTATATATATATATATATATACACACACACACACACACACACACACACATACATATATAGATAAATATGTATGTATATATAGAGAGATCTATATAGCCGTTTTTATTCATTCATTAATTTTTTTGTCGGCTTAGTCCCTTTATTAATTTGGGGTCACCACAGCGGAATGAACCGCCAAATTATCCAGCAAGTTTTTACGCAGCGGATGCCCTTCCAGCCGCAACCCATCTCTGGGAAACATCCACACACACACACACACACACACACACACACACACTCATACGCATTTATTTATATACAATTATATAAACCTGAACAATGTGTAAAATATTTATCTTCTATCTTCCAAATAACAGTTCAGAATAATCCCAATGTTAATGAAATCTTTCCAAATACAGCTATATAGGATATGTTGTGTAACTGTATTCATATTGCAGCAAATCAAAAGATCTCAATGTCAGATTTCTCCAATATGGTGCAGCCCTGATTATAACTGGTTCACTCCCCCGTGACACAAAAATAAGTAAATAAATACATTAAATGAGCATGATTATATTCACATTTCAGTCCACAGTTAAGCTTAAAACTCAATTTTAACCTCATGGCAGCACAACACATATTATTAGTATACATGTTCATGAATGAATGAATGATTATGCATGTAAACTGACAAAAAAACGTCTGTTTATTAGCTTCTGTCGTTGAGTTTATAGTCCAGATATCTACAAACTCCTAAATCAAGAAGCATTTTCTAGACAAGCAACAAATAAAGAGTTGTTTTAAAAAAAAAAAATAGTCAAAATGAAGAGAGTTTCTCCTTAAACAAGCTGAATAATCTTGTTTTCACTTTAAAATATGATTATGATCAATATTCTCCACATTGGCAGATTATTCTGCTTGTTTTTGACTCATCAAACCCACTTCATTTTGACTCATTATTGCTGAAAACAAGTCTATATTGTATCCTGGTCCAGAAAATGCTTCTGGATTAAAGAGTTTTTAGACAAGAAACAAGATGAAACCCTAAGGAGTAGCAGTACTGTTAGCGGTTTAGTGTAGCATGTCCACTGTTAAACTGACTTGATCTATGAATGAATGAGTCTGTGTGGACACTGTTCTAATGACACACACACACACACACACACACACACACACACACACACTGACCTGTTCAATGCTGTGTATGATCTTCCCTGTGCTGATCTGCAGGATGTTGATCTTTGGTCCATAAGTGCAGAAGATGTGCTGCTCGTCTGCACTGACCTGACGGAGAGACAAGAGCAGGCAGGATTGATGACCGCCACTCATTCATTAACGCAATGCTAATATTATATTATTATGGTTATTATTGGCGATCTCACCTGCACTTTACCTCCCTTATAGAAAGGCTCGATTCTGCTGGAGACCGCATAACTAACACACAGATGATTAGAAGTCAAACCGGTTGTCAAAATATAGAGTTAGCATTGATCTGAGCTAGCCAGAATTATCTTACAACAGACGGAAACGGCGCTTACTTTGACTTGAAGAGCAGCGTTTTCCCAGCCATGGCAGCCCGCGCTGTTTTCAACTCCTCGTCGATATTGTAAATGTTGCTGTTATTGTTAAAAGTTTATGTGTTTATTATTTTTGCAGCCCTTGGTGATACACGCATGGTGCATGTGTTCATGGATGTTGTCGCACAGATATGACGTCAAAATGTTCACGCGAGTACCCCAGTGACGCCTAGCGGCAGACACGCGAACAGCATCAAAGAGCAGTTAATTATAATTAGTAGTAGTGTAGTAGTAGTAAATACTACTAATAGTAACAGTAGTGATAACAATAATTACAACAGTGCACTAGTATCAACAATTCTGTTATATAAACAGTAAAAAAAACAAATTAATGAATGAATTATATAATTATTTTTTTGCACGAATTATTAAACATAAATGAATAACTAAATCAATTATTAAATGAATAAATACATGAAATATTAAACGAACGAACGAATGAATGATCGATTGAATGAATGAATTATTGAATGAAAGAATGCATGAACTATTAAATGAATGAATTACTGAATGAATTAGTAAATAAATAAATCAATAAATTAATGGATGAACGAATGAATAAATAAATTATTGAATGAATGAATGAATGAATTATTTAATAAATAAATTCATGAATTATTGAAAGAATAAATGAATTAATAAATTATTGAAATAATGAATGCATGAATTATTAAAGGAAAGAATGAATAAATTATTAAATGAATGAATGAATGATTGAATGCATGAATGAATGAATGAATGAATAAATGAATTAATTTTTGAAAGAGTTAATGAATAATAAAAATGAAGAAATTATTAAAGGAATGAATAAATAAATAAATTATTGGTTGAATGAATTCATGAATTATTGGAAGAATGAATGAATGAATGAACGAATCAACAAATGAATGAATGAATGAATTTAATTAATTATAAAAATTAATGAATTATTAAATGAATGAATAAAGAATTGAAGTTGAATTGGATGAACGAATGAATGAATTATTGAATGGATTAATGAATAACAAAAATGAATGAATTAATGCATGAATTATTGAATTTATTAATAATAGAATAAATGAATGAAGTATTGAATAAATGAATGAATGCATAAACTATTGAATGAAGGAATTAGTAAATTTATTATTAAATAAATGAATGAATGCATGAATTAGTGAACAAATAAATGAATGAATTATTGAATGAATTAATGGGTTACTGAATGAATTGTTAAATGAATGAATTAACAAATGGACTAATGAATTATTCAATGAATGAATGAATGAATGAATACACAAATAAATGAATGCATGAATTGTTGGATGAAATAATGAATTAGTTAATTAATTTATGAATTATTAAAATGAATGAATAAATGAATTTTTGAATGAATGAATACATGACAAAATCATTGAATGACTGAATGCATGAACTATTGAGTAAATAAATTACTGAATTTATTATTAAATGAATGAATTAATGCCATGAATTACTGAACAAATGAATGAATGAATTATTGAATGAATGAATGAATGAATTATTGAATGAGTTAATGAATTATTAAATGAATGAATGAATGAATGAATGAATGAATGAATGAATGAATGAATAAATAATTGAATGAATGAATTATTGAATAATTGAATGAATAAATGAATGAATTATTGAATGAATGCATGAGGTATTGAACGAATTAATTTATTATTAAATTACTTAATGAAATATTAAATGAATTATTTATTTTTTGAGCAAATGAACGAATGAATGAATGAACGAATGAATGAACGAATGAATGAATGAATGAATGAATGAATGAATGAATGAATGAATGAATGAATGAATGAATATTAGCGGGTACATCTGCATAAGATGATTAGTGCTTGTGCTGAATCTGTTTTCTGACCAACACTAGCTCTAGATGAGGACAAACGCTCTTCAGCTGAATGTTAACTTCTCCTTCAGCCATGTTAAACCTGGATTTCCCATATAACAACACTGATGCTGGCGCTAGATGTCAACAACATTCAATATCATACACTGCACGCGAAGAAGTCAGCTATCTCTACGTCACTTCCGCTCTCAGTTTCACATCATCCTCAAGCAGACCTCAGATCAGTTCGTGTCAGCGTGACCGTTAATATCCGCGGTTGTATAATCATAACAGCTGATGCCGGGTCAGTGGTTTGTATGCGGGGCTCAGATGGTCACTTCCGCGTAGCTGATGTGCTGACTGTTAGCACCATGAGTTTAGCAGCAGTTTTGGGTTTAAACAGTGTAAGATGTCAGATGTTCAGGTTAGTGTGTGGCAGTAAAACATGTAATGGTGTTTTGAGTCTGCGCAGTGCGGAGGGAAGAGCTGCGCGCGCATGTGCAGTGCGCTCACACAGCAACATATCGGTAGGTCATTCACTTACTACAGTAATAATATTAATAATAATCATAATACTGCAGCACATTTATTGATTTATATGTGATGGAGGAATAATTACTGCGATTTATTTCCAGATGACATCCGCCATTGTTTATGTATTTGTGTCAAAAAACTAAAAGGGGGTTATTATATGCAATTAATGTCATTATATAATGCTTTATATAGTAATGATGTTGATTTATTTAATAATAATGTTGTTTTTAATATTTATTTATGCCTGTGAAGCACTTTGGGTTGGATGTTATGTAGGAAAAGTGCTATATTTGACTGCTATACTGTACATTTAGTGCTATACTGTACTGAAATGCACAATAATTACAGTGTTATACAGGTCATTCACTTATTACAATATTTATAATAACAATTATACAGCACATCTAAGGGTTTATATGTAGAGTACTAATTACTGCAAATTATTTCCAGACGACATCCGCTATTATTTATGTATTTGCGTCACAAATGAAAAGGAAGTTATCAATAATATAGCAATAATGTTTATATAGAAATGATGTTGTTTTTAATAATTGTTTATGCTCGTAAAGCACTTTGAGTTGGATGTTATGTAGGAAAAGTGCTATATTTGACTGCTATACTGTACATTTAGTGCTTTACTGTATTAAAATGTATTATTTTTAATAATTAAAGTGTTATACAGGTCATTCACTTATTACAATAACAATAATACAGCACAGCTATAGAATAATAATTACTGCGATTTATTTCCAGACGACATCCGCTATTATTTATGTATTTATATAAAAAATTATGTTGTTTTATGTAATAATTATGTTTGTTTTTTTAAATATGTTTGTGAAACATAAAATGTATTAATGTAACAATAATAATACAAGTGTTATATGACTTGCAGTTTTGTGATTGATATAAATAATTGTGTTTAATCATTAACAAATGATGGCTGCTATGCATATTTCTCATTTATTGATGGATTTACACCTACTAAGAAGTTATTCAAGGTACTAAATACTAATAAATATAGATATATGCCAGACAAAGTTATATTTGGGGTAATGTGAAAACAAAATACCCAAAATATTTATTGCAATTAATTTTTTTCTGCCACTATTTGTTAAACCACTATAGCTTTTACACATTCGTCAGTATGAAGTTTATATTAATTTACGATATAATCAAATATGTATTTGAATACTTCAGTACAGGTCAGAATAATCATCTGTTGAGCTAAATGAGGAGGAAAACTCATTATTTTTATGTTTGATAATGTGATTTTTTTCATTGAAGTTACTTGATTTTAAATGTTCAGTCTGTGTATATACAAACACAATACTACATTAATAAATGCACAGCACATTTCTAATCATAATACATTTAATTAATCCTCTCCAAGAACTGATTTATGTTCTCTTCATCATGATGACAGCACATAATATTAGACTAGATATTCTTCAAGACACTAGTGTTCAGCTTACAGTGACATGTAAAGGCTTCACTAGGGTAATTAGGGTAAAGTTAGGGTAATTAGGCAAGTCATTGTATAACAGTGGTTTGTTCTGGAGACAATCCAACACTAATATTGCTGAAGGGGTGAATAATATTGAGCTTAACATGACTTTAACACTATTAAACACTGCTGTTATTCTAGCACAAATAAAACACATCAGACTTTCTCCAGAAGAACAAACATTAGAGGAAACACTGAGAGAAATTCTGTTCAACATCATTTGGGAAATACTTGAAGAAGGAAAAAAATCTGCAGCCGGGTGAATAAATCTAACTTCAATTTTATATATGACCTTCTTCCTCTTCTTCTTCAGTTATGGCGGTGTCGGACGGCTCCATGTGTGTCTGTTCTGCACATGCGAACACTTTCCACTCTTCCTCCACCTCCATCATCCAGCGGAGACAAACCCAGCAGCCGGAAGACTGGAGTAAGCTTCACCACAGCTCCTTTATTCAACATATTGTTGATATACATTAATATTTTTAAGTCTGCATGGACTAGAAGTTGCTGAGACTTTCATTTCATTATGTTGATGAGCTTCCAACTGAATATTGAGTAGGGGGCGGGGCTTGTAGTGAACTAACATTAGCAGGGGCAAGGCTAAGAATAAGAGAGGTGTGTAGTGTAATGTGCAGGTTAGTGGTTGACTAATAATTTCAAGCTTAAAAATGGTAATAATGTGTGTTTTCCACAGCCAGTGACATGGAAATCTCTCGCTGTCACGTTTGCGCTGGGAGGAGGCCTGCTTCTAGCAATGAAATACTTCAAGAGGGAAAAAGAGGAATGTAAGCATGAGGGTTCATGCATCTGAACATCCAAATTAAATCAAGTAATACTTCATTAGTAGCCCCTCCCCTTCACCATCAGCACCTCCCCTTTTCAGTAGCCTCTCCCCTTAATCAATAGCCCCTGCCTTTACCATCAACTCCTCCCCTTCGTTAATATTAGCCCCTTCATGAGCAGCCCCTCCTCTTCATTATAAGCTCCTCCTCTTCACCAGCAGCCCCTACCCATCACCATCAGCTTCTCCCCTTAATCAATAATAGCCCCTCCCCTTCAACAGTAGCTCCTCCGCTTTACCAGCAGCTCCTCCCCTTCATCAATAACCCCTCCCCTTCACTATCAGCTCCTCCCTTTCATAATCAGCCCCTTTCTTTTCCCAGTTGCTCCTCCCTTTCATCAACAGCTTCTCCCCTACATCAATAATAGCTCCTCCCCTTAATCAGTAGCTCCTCCCTTTCATCAGTAATAGCCCCTTCCCTTCATCATTAGCTCCTCCCTTTCATAATTACCTTCTCCCCTTCACTATCAGCTCTTTCCTTTCATAATCAGCCCCTTCCTTTTCCCAGTTGCTCTTACCTTTCATCAACATCTTCTCCCCTTCATTAATAATAGCCCCACCCCTTCATAATTAACTCCTCCCATTCATCAACAGCCCCTCCCCTTCACCATCAGCTCCTCCCTTTCATAATCAGCCCCTTCTATTCCCCAGCTGCGCCTCCCTTTCATCAACAGCTTTCCCCTCTTCATCAATAATAGCTCCTCCCCTTCATCAGCAGCTCCTCCTACTAACCAGCAGCTCCTCACCTTCATAATTTTTAACTCCTCCCCTTCATCAGTTTCTCCTCCCCTTTATAATCAGCTCCTGCTTTCCATAATCAGGTCCTCTCCTTCATCTGCAGCTCCTCTCCTTTACCAGTAATTACCCCTCCCCCTCATCATTAGCCCCTCCCCTTTATAATTAGCACCTCCTCTTAATCAGCAGAGTCTTTCCTTCATAATCAGCTTCTCCATTAACAGCTCCTCCTCTTCATCAATAGCCCCTCTCTTTCATAATCCGCCCCTCCCCTTCATCAATAATAGCCCCACCCCTTTCCTCATCAGCTTCTCCCCTTCATTATTGGCTCCTCCTCTTAACCAGCAACTCCTCCCTTTCATTGATATATCATCCCCTTCATCATTAGCTCCTCCCTTTTACCAATAGCCCCTCCCTTCCACTATCAGCTCCTCCCTCTCATAATCAACCCCTTCCTTTCCCCAGTTGCTCCTCCCTCTCATCAACAGCTTCTCCCCTTCATCAATAATAGCTCCTCCCATTCATCAATAGCTCCTCCCCTTCATCATCAGCTCCTACTCTATCTGTAATAGCCCATCCCCTTCATCAGTAGCTCCTCCTCTTCAACAGAAAACTCCTCCCCTTAATCAATTATAGTCCCTCCCCTTCACCATCAGCCCCTTCCTTTCCCCAGTTGCTCCTCCCTTTCATTAACAGCTTCTCCCCTTCATCTATAATAGCTCCACCCCTTCATAATTAGCCCCTCCCTTTTAGCAATAGCCCCTCCCCTTCACCATCAGCTCTTCCCTTTCATAATCAGCCCCTTTATTTCCCCAGTTGCTCCTCCCTTTCATCAACAGCTTGTCCCCTTCATCAATAATAGCTCCACCCCTTCATCATTAGCTCCTCCCTTTTACCAATAGCCCCTCCCCTTCACCATCAGCTCCTCCCTTTCCTAATCAGCCCCTTCCTTTTCCCAGTTGCTCCTCCCTTTCATCAACAGCTTCTCCCCTTCATCAATAATAGCCCCACCCCTTCATCATTAGCCCCTCCCTTTCACCAATAGCCCCTCCCCTTCACCATAAGCAACTCCCCTTTTTAATATTTCAATGTGAATGCACTACTTGCTCTATTTATTCTACAAAATGGCGTAGGATAGTGCCTAAGTAAGTGATTTGGGACGCACCCGCTGATCTTGCCTGCTTATGTAGTGTACATCTCCACACTGACTGATGACGCCGTCACTGATGTGCTTCCGCTGTTGTAGTGTTTGAGAAAGAAAGAACAAAGTCGATAGGGAAGCCAGCTCTCGGAGGCCCGTTTTCACTCCTCGACCACAATAATAAACCCAGCCGGAGTGAGGATTTCCTCGGCCGCTGGCTGCTGATCTACTTCGGCTTCACGCACTGTCCAGACATCTGCCCTGATGAGCTGGAGAAAATGATCGAGGCCGTCGATGAGATCGGTAATGTATTAGCATGTTTATAAACTCACGCTCAGGGTTGATTTGCACGGTTCTTACGGCAGCCCCGCTAAACAAAAGACCCTGCTGTTTATGTGCAGACAACATTGACACTCTCCCAGACGTGACTCCGCTCCTGATCAGCATTGACCCGGAGAGAGACACCCCTGAAGCGCTGGCAGCTTATGTTAAAGGTGAGCAGGGTCATCTGTGTTCCTCTGCATGTGCTGTGAGTTTGGTATGATTGAGAGTGTGATTTCCTCATCGTGTTTGTGTTCCACGTGCAGATTTCTCCCCCAAGCTCATCGGTCTGACCGGCACGACGGCCCAGATTGAGCAGGTGTCCCGAGCCTACAGAGTTTACTACAGCCAGGGCCCTAAAGACGAAGACAACGACTACATCGTGAGTGTTTACTGTCTACATACATACTGTCTAAAGTTCGCTGTGATTGGCGGACCCAGTGTGCTGTGATTGGCTGACTCAGTATGCTGTGATTGGCTGACTCAGAGCAATGTGATTGGCCGACCCAGTGCGCTTTGATTGGCCAACTCAGTTTGCTGTGATTGGCCTACGCAGTTTGCTGTGATTGGCCACTCCAGTTCACTGTGAATTTCCGATCTAGTTCACTGTGATCGCTGTGACCCAGACCGATGTGATTGGCCGGCATAGTGTGCTGTGATTGGCTGACCCATAGCGATGTGATTGGCCGACCCAGTGCACTGGGATTGGCCAACTCAGTTTGGTGTGATTGGCTGACCCAATGCGCTGTGATTGGCCACTCCAATTCACTGTTATCAGCCAACCCAGTGCGCTGTGATTGGCCACCCTAGTTCACTGTTATTGACCGACCCAGTGCGCTGTGATTGGTCGACTCAGTTTACTGCGATTGGCTACTCAAGTTCACTATGATTGGCCGATGTAGTTCATTGTGATCAGCCGACCCAGTGCGCTGTGATTGGCCAACGAAGATTGCTGTGATTGGCTGACCCATTGTGCTGTGATTGGCCGACCCAGGGTGCTGTGATTGGTCACTCAAGTTCACTGTGATTAGCCGATGTAGTTCACTGTGATCAGCTGACCCAGTGCGCTGTGATTGGCTTACTCAGTTTGCTGTGATTGGCTGACCCAGTGTGCTGTGATTGGCCGACTCAGTTTGCTGTGATTGGCTGACCCAGTGTGCTGTGATTGGCCGACTTAGTTTGCTGTGATTGGCCACTCCAGTTCTCTGTGATTGGCCGACCCAGTGCGCTGTGATTGGCCGACTCAGTTTGCTGTGGTTGGCTTGACCCAGTGTGCTGTGATTGGCCACTCCAGTTCTCTGTGATTGGCCGACCCAGTGTGCTGTGATTGGCCGACTCAGTTTGCTGTGATTGGCTGACCCAGTGTGCTGTGATTGGCCGACTTAGTTTGCTGTGATTGGCCACTCCAGTTCTCTGTGATTGGCCGACCCAGTTCTCTGTGATTGGCCGACTCAGTTTGCTGTGATTGGCCGACTCAGTTTGCTGTGATTGGCCGACTCAGTTTGCTGTGATTGGCCGACTTAGTTTGCTGTGATTGGCCACTCCAGTTCTCTGTGATTGGCCAACCCAGTGCGCTGTGATTGGCCGACTCAGTTTGATGTTATTGGCTGACCTAGTTGCTGTGATTGGCCACTCCCGTTCTCTGATTGGCTGATCTAGTTCACTATGATCAGCCAAGCCAGTGCGCTGTGATTGGCCAACTCAGTTTGCTGTGATTGGCTGACTCAGTGTGCTGTGATTGGCTGACCCAGTGCACTTTTATTGGCCATTGCAGTGTGCTGTGATTGGCTGACCCAGTGCACTTTTATTGGCCATTGCAGTGTGCTGTGATGGGCCGACTCAGAGTGTTGTGATTGGCAGACCAGGTTCGCTGTGATTGGCCAGTCCAGTTCACTTGGATTGGCTGATCTATTTCGCAGTGATCGGCCGACCCAGTGTGCTGTGATTGGTCAATCAGGTGAGGTGTGATTGGCCGACACGATGTGCTGTGATTCCAGTGCACCGTGATTGGCCAAACACCGTAAGTGTCTGTCAGTAAAATGGCTGTAACCATTACAACAACTCCTGTTCGCAACATGTTATCAGTATATTCACTCACGCTAGCAGTGTGCTGATCATGCTAAAAACACACCAGAAATCAGGCTAATTCCAGCTAGCATATCGTTAAACATGTTAACAACACGCTAATTCATGCTAATAGCTAATTTGTTTAATATAAAGTAGTCCACTAGTCCCCTGAGCCTGTCCTCATGCGGTGTGTTTTCCTGCAGGTGGATCACACCATCATCATGTACCTGGTGGGACCCGACGGCCAGTTTCTGGAGTATTACGGACAGAACAAGAAGTCCTCGGAGATCGCCTCATCCATCGCATCCTACATGAGGAAGCACAAATACGGCAAATGAGGACATTACTCCTGTCATCAATCATATTTATTTTCAGAGCCACTCTGCTGGAGCATTCCCCGTTTCCCCATACTGCAGTGATGTTCAGAGCGTTCACATTCAATAAAGTGTCTTTGGGTTGATCTCCTGTCACGCATCGTGTGTTGAACTCTCTCATGCTCTTTAATTCCGCTGTGGCGACCTCAGATTAATAAAGGGACTAAGATGAAAAGAAAATGAACGAATGAATGAATTTGTGTGAACTACCCCTGTAAGTCTAGCATAACATATGCAAAAATTCTTAAATCAAGATGCATTTTGTAGACTAGCAGAAAATATAGTCATTTTCAGAGTCAAAATTAAGTTTTTTCTTTAAAAAAAAAGCAAAACAAGATAAATTAATACATGTATAGTAAGAAGCGTCTAATTTCAAAGATTAAGTCAGAAAATACACACACAGGTTTTGGATATAGGCATTTCACAAGACAATTGGACCCAAAACACTTTATAATAAGTACACTCTCTAAGCTAATCACTGTATTCCACTAAAACGTTGGTATATATTATTTTGAAAAAGACAAATAATCTTCTGATCACAAGAGTTTCCCCTTTTGTTGAGAGACTGACATACAGGCAGCCAATCAGCTTTCTCTGATCAGCGCAAACACCCCGCCTACGGCGCTCAGTGTGAGGCGGAGAGTGCAGAGCTTTGCTGTTTGCTGTTGAATTGCTTTAACTCCACTTCTGTTTCGGGTGTTGTGCGTCTATTCAAAGTAAGTGTATTATATCTGACCTTTGTAGCGTTCGCAGATTTGCTGCAATTATCTTGCGGGTTGAACTGCTTTAACATATGTGCTCAATGCTAATATAGTCTCTTGTTTTTAGCTCGATGCTAGGCTGTAAACACTTCTGTAATGCGTTACTCACGGGTTATCTGGCCACCTTTCATTTGTGTCTCCATCTCATTCCTTCACTAAGTGCTTGTTTCAGAGGTGTGTTGTAAACAACTTCCCAACAAACACATCTGTTACAGCGTAGAAATGTAAGACTGGAGAGGCCTGTAGCAGCTGAGGAGATCTGGGTTTACTACATTTGATGCTGGGTTATTTACATATTGACTATTCTGCATATGAGAAGTAGACCTAAGAGTGTTTAAATACTGTTTAATATTGATTATTGATCTTTTTAACTTAATATCTGCTTGTGTAAACTTTGAAGAGAAATAAATCTATAACAATTAATATAATCAATCTTTATTTCATAGGCTAATAACATTGTTACCAAAACGTAAATAAAATCAGCAAAAATATAGAGAACATTAAACAGGTTATTTAGTTTTAATAGCATTTTTAAATAGTTTTTGTTTTATAAATGTTTAACGTTGTTGCAAATGCTTTTATTTAGCATTAAAACAGAATGTGGGATTAGTATAATAGTATAAAGCACTTAATAATGAATGTATTACAGTATTGAGAGATAACTGTAGGCAATCAGAGACATGATCACGCTGCACACATGAGATGTAGAATCGGCCACTCAACACTTACACACATATTTACTGAACAGGGAAGAGAAACCTATGTGTAACTTGTGTGAGAATATTTTGATGGTGAAACATATTTTAATAGAGTGTATATTTGTAAATGATATTAGAGAATGTTTTTATTCAGGAAATATTTGAAGGCAAATGTTTAAAAATGTGTTTTCTGGAGGAATTGTACAATATTGATCATTGATCAGACTGAAAGAGCTTATAAGACTTTATCAGTGTTGCTGTTATTTGTGTGTTTTTAACCAATTAATGATGTTTCAGAAACAGTTATGATCATCAATTATATATTGAATATTTAATACAAGTGTTGTCATGAATATAGCCAGTGCTGCTGTAATATAATACATAATTTAAGTGAACCGGATATGTTAATTAGAACAAGAATATAACTTAAGTATTTTTAATTATGACAGATTTGCTCCTCCTCCTCCTCCAGTGAAGCTCCTCCTCCTCCAGTGAAGCTCCTCCTCCTCCAGTGAAGCTCCTCCTCCTCCAGTTCAGCTGTAAACACTGTGATATTCCCATCAGGCTCCAGTGAAGAGTTTATTGAAGGACAGCGAGAACATGAGTGATCCAGAACCCTGCAGAATTAAACATGAAGACACTGAACAACAAATAGGTTGGTGTTTATTCCTGATTCTTAAACATCTTTTTGTATTTTGTTGTAAATTTTGATGACACTGTATTCAACACAAACTGTGCTACAATGATGGGCAAGCAGCACCTGTGTATGTGTTACTTTTGAAAATAATACGGATATGCATGTTTTTTTTACATTTAAAAGTCACAAAAACTAAAATGCAGATTTCAGCGCTAAGGATTTTGTCAGGCCAGTGGTTAAGGTTTTTACTTAAACTGCCAAAATTTGGCCCCACCATTCATTCATTCATTTTCTTTTCAGCTTAGTCCCTTTATTAATCAGGGGTCACCACAGTGGAATGAACCACCAACTTATTCAACATATGTTTTACATAGTGGATGCTCTTCCATCTGCAACCCATAACTGGGGAACACCCATACACTCTCATTCACACACATACACTACGGACAAGCATACCCAATCCCCCTATAGCGCATGTGTTTGGACTGTGGGGGAAACCAGATAGATAGATAGATGCAAACACATGTGGGTGTAGAAAGTATTTCTTATTGTTCAGCACATTATCAACAGATTTAATAGTTTGCTAGTCTTCTCTGCTCACCGAGATCACAGCATTTATTCGACAAAGATACAGTAAATGGTATTATAATATCTGTTTTAATGTAAATTTAAAGATACAGTGGGGTTAGAAAGTGTTTACCACTTATTGCTTTATTATTTCTTGCGCCGGATGGTTTGCCAGAATATCTTTGGGGCCGACTGATAGTCTTCCTTCATGGTCTCCCCAAACTCTTCCCAGGCCTGTAGCCTATTTTTATTTTTATTTTTTGCTTCGACAACCGTACCGACAGCAGCACACTTGGCCTGTCGGTACTCATGATCTGCCTCTGGAGTCCTGCAAGCCAACCAAGCCCTGTAGGATTTCTTCTTCAGCCTGACGGCATCCCTTACTTCCGGTGTCCTCTACCGGGTTCATGGATTGCCGCCCCGACAGGCACCACAGACCTACCGGCCACAGATCCTCATGGCTGCGTTAACACTGGAGTCAGAGAACATGGATCACTATGTCTCCATGTCTCCCGCCTCCTTGGGGATCTGTTCAAAGCTCTTCCCAAGGTGAGAGTTGAAAATCCCTCTGACTTGAGGTTCACAATACCGCAACCCTCACAATACGCTTGGGCATGCCAGTTCTGTCCAGCTTTCCCCCTTGCCATTGTACCCAACTCACCACCAGGTGGTGATCAGTTGACAGCTCTGCCCCTCTCTTTACCCGAGTGTCCAAAACATAAGGTCGGAGATTAGATGATGCCACCACAAAGTCATTCGTTGACCTTCGCCCTTGGGTGTCCTGGTGCTACATGTACTGATGGACACCCTTATACTTGTACATGGTGTTTGTAATGGAAAAACTATGATTAGCACAGAAGTCCAATAACAAAACACCACTCAGGTTCAGATCAGGGTGGCCGTTTCTCCCAATCACGCCTCTCCGGGTATCACTGTCATTACCCACGTGGGCATTGAAGTCCCCCAGTAGAACAACAGAGTCTTCAGTCTGGGCACCTTCTAGCACCCCTCCCAAGGACTCCAAGAAGGCCGGGTACTCTGCACTGGTCTTTGGCCCGTAGGCACAAACCACAATAAGAGACCTATACCTGACCCGAAGGAGCAGGGAGACTACCTTCACGTTCACCAGGGGAAACTCCCAACACCCCCAACAACTCCTAACTCCCAGCACATGGTGGTAAGGTTGGGGAACTATAAGCAAGCCCACACCAACCCCCGCCTCTCACCGTGAGCAACTCCAGAATAGAAGAAAGTCCAGCCCTTCTCAAGAAATTGAGTTCGAGAGCCCAAGCTGTGCGTGGAGGTGAGCCCAACTATCTCTAGTCTGTACCGTTCCACCTTTTGCAAAAGCTCAGGCTCCTTCCTTTCCAGTGAGGTGACATTCCATGTCCCAAGAGCCAGTTTCTGTGCTGAATAGGTTGTCGTGGTCTCAAATATCGACTACCACCTCTTCCACAATGCACCATCTCCTTACGGCTTCCCTGTGGGGCCTGCAGGAGGATGGTCCCACGTCACTCCTTTGGGCCGGACTTAGCCCGGTTTCATGGGGTAAAACCCGGCCATCACGCGCTCTTATACGAGCCCCAACCCCTGGCCTGGCTCCAGAGCGGAGCCCCAGCTGCGCCATACCAGGCGACGTTACGGTCCTTGATGTTATTGTACTCATAAGGGTTTTTTTAACCGGACTTAGTCTGACCTGTCACCTAAAACCGCTTTGCCTTGGGAGACCCTACCAGGGGCATTAGCCCCCGACAACATAGTTAACCTGATGTTTCAGATAATCAAGCAAATTTAAATGTTATTTAAATGTACCAAAAGTAACGCATTGCGCAGTTTTGAAATTCTGTGTTAATTATACAGACATTGTACTTAAATGACAAAAATGACTTCGGGTCATTCACGTGAGAAGCCGCTTAAATGTGCATACAAATAATGGACCCCAGAGGGTTAATATGATAAGATCAAACTACATGTACAATTTTTTTTTTACATAAATGTGCATCAATTGGCAGTTTGTGTAGCCAGTGTTTTCAGTGTCTTTTCACTTCAGCTCATGATGAGAGTTTCTATGACTTACTAAAAACCAAACCTTTTTTCATTTATTTCAGACCTCATTGAAGAGTATGAGGAGATTAAAGAGGAGGAACATCATGTCAAGATTGAGGACAATCATTTACAGACTGATGGTATTTTGAAAAAGAAAAATAAGAATTGTTTTACCTGCACTCAGTGTGGACAGTGTTGTGAAGGAAAGGCCAATCTTAAGATTCACATGAGAATCCACACTGGAGAGAAACCATTCACCTGCACTCAGTGTGGCAAGAGTTTCAGCCAATCATCATCCCTTAATAAACACATGATGATCCACACTGGAGACAGACCATACACATGCACTCAGTGTGGGAAGAGTTTTGGCCAATCATCAAATCTTAGTAAACACATGCTGATCCACACTGGAGAGAAACCGTTCACCTGCACCCAGTGTGGGAAGAGTTTCAGCCAATCATCAAACCTTAATCTACACATGAAGATCCACACTGGAGAGAGACCATACACATGCACTCAATGCGGGAAAAGCTTTAGCCAATCATCAAACCTTAATCTACACATGCTGATCCACACTGGAGAGAAACTTTTCACATGCACTCAGTGTGGGAAGAGTTTCAACCACTCATCATCCCTTAATAAACACATGCTGACCCACACTGGAGAGAAACCATTCACATGTACTCACTGTGGGAAGAGCTTTAGCCAATTATCCAACCTTAATCAACACATGAAGATCCACACTGGAATACGAGAGCATATGTGCTTTGAGTGTGAGAAGACTTTTATTACAGCTAGAGAATTGAAACGGCACCAGAGGGTTCACACTGCTCGCGTGTACCGCTAAACACAATGATGGCAGTTGAGAGAAGAACAGTTTCATAAACATCCTGCAAACAGCACCACTGCGGCACGTCTCACCTTTACAGCGTTTAACATTTGCTGTGGACAGCCTATTCTTCTGTCCTGTGTTTGCTTCTTTATGCCCAGTTCACACTGTCAGGTCTTGTAGTAGATTGACTTGCACAGAAGAATTGTTCACCTGAAAAATAGAAATGTTCAATGTAAATTTCAATTTCAAACAGACTTTAGATCCTAACACTTCCTCATGTTCACAGGTTGCATTTAGTTATTAAAAAAACAGTAAAATTGTGAATGCCAGAAAAATTGTTTGCTGTTTATCTGGGGCCGGGTCACAGGGGCAGCAGTCTTAGCAGGGAAAAGTAGACCACCCTCTCCCAAGAAACTTTCTCCAACTCTGTGGAGTTCCCAGAGCCTTCCTATTGAGCAGAGAGACATAATGCCTCTCCTGGGTCTTCCCTGGGGCCTCCTCCCTGAGGGACAAGCCCAGAACACCTACCTAGGTAGTAGTCTAGGAGGCATCTCCTAGACAGAAGCTGCTGCTCTACTACTGAGTTCCTCCCAGGTGACAGTTACCCTATATCTTTGGGTACGTCCTGCCATGCTGCGAAAAAAACAAACTTTGCCCGTTTGTATTCGAGATCTTGGCCTTTCACTCATGAACCAAAGTTTATGACCATTGGTCAGAGTAGGATCTTAGACTGACCAGTAAATTGAGAACATTGCTTTTCCCCTCAGCTCCTGCTGCTGCTCCACCAATCTGCCTTTCAATTTCATCTTCCATCCTTCCAAAAACTGGAGATGGCAAGCCACCTCTTCTAGTCAAGCACCATGGCCTCGGACTTAGAGGTGCTGCCTGTTATTCCTGCCTCCTTTGCCATACTCTGCAGCAAACCATCCCAGTGCATGCTGAAGGTCCATGTCCCATGAATCCTAAAGGACAAGATTATCTGCAAATAGCAAAGATGAAAAACAGATGATGATGAACAGAACTACTGAGAAAGAGTCTCGCCGGCATCCAACATGCACCGGGTACAAGTCTGACATATTGCTGGCAATGTGACCCAAACTCCTGCTCTGTTCATACAGGGACCGGACAGCCCTCAACAAAGTGCCTCCAACCCAATACTCCCAGAGCACCCCATACAGAATCCCATCTCCAACTTCACAAAACACATGTGGACGGGTTGATCATACTCCCACAAACCCTCAAGCACCCTAGTGTGGGTATAGAGCTGGTCCAGTTTTCCACAGACTGGATAAAGTCTGCATTGTTTTTCCTGGATCTAAGGTTTAACCATTAGCTGGATTCTCCTCTCCAATACTCTGGCATAGACATTTCCAAGGAAGCTGAGGAGTGGGAATTTATTTGTATTTTTTCCCCTTGTAGTTGAAACACCGCCTCTGGTCCCCCTTCTTATTAGTGGGAACCATCCCAGCTACCCAGTCTAGAGGTACTATCCCATAACAGTTCATCAAACTGGACTTGGCTCAGTCAGAAGCACCGCTGAAAGCCTCCATCATCCAGGTTCAGTTTCTGTAGGAGTTTATGAGCTCACAGAGCTGGATGCACCTCTGGAAGGATGTAGTGGACTCAGACACGGCACTTAACGTATCGACGCTGTTTTTCAGCCTTCTTAAAGCACATAAACACTGTTCTCTTCTTCATAAAATCCATGTTAGCCATTTAGCTATGAAGCTAGAGTCACTGGGCAGACAGAAGCCCTGCCCATCACGCGAATCCGCGTCTGTTCTGAAGTGAATTTGATGCGCACATGAAGCGAGTAAACTCAAATGTTCACGTGGCTATTTATGCGCAATTTATCCATGCGTTCTGTGTCTGGTGTGAACCAGCATAAGAACTTCAAATGTTTTTTATAAACATGAGAAGATTAAAGGGTAGCTAAATCTCCAACACTATTCTTTAAATCATCACAGTGTCCTTTCCTGCAATATCTGAATGTATATTCTGTGCTAAATTCTTTATTGATATCCAGTCCTTTGTAACGGTGGACACACACAAAATAAAAATGAAATATTTACACCTACATAAGTAACCCGAACAGTATTATATGTCTTAACACACAAAAAGAAAAAAATATATATTCTGGTGAGGTTTGAACACGGGTGGTGGCGTTGTAACGCAACGTGCTGACCACTGGACCACTGGAGTCTGAAATAAAAAATTAAGTATTGCACTGTCACTGTTTATTCTCCCCTTTTTGGATTTCTGATCAAGTTAATGTCAGATTTATTAATGTAGTGAATCATCTAAGTTTTATTGAGCAGGTGTAATATTCATTAATATTATTTATTCTAATTCTTATTTTCACCAAGGTGCCGCTGTTTGGGGTCGAATGACCTGCAGGCTGCATTGTGCTCACGGGGCTGCAAGATATAAAATTATGAATAAAAATTAATAAATTAAATTAATAAATGAATAAAAAGAATGAGGCTAAAGTCGAATAAATAAACAAAGTGCGACTGCTGAGAGTGCAAGCAGCTAAAAACACCGACCCTGGCGGCCGAAAAAATGGACTGGTCCACCGGGAATTCTCCCGATTAGCCAATCCGGGCCTTGTTATTGGCCTTGACTTGGGTCTAAGATGAACTGATAATTCTATAAATGTATATTATTGTATTCTGTAGAATGGTCATAATTAATATTCATGCTAAATATTTCTTAAGTGGTCTTAGTTGGGTGCAGTAGGACTGGCAGGGTTACATTAGCGTATCACTCCAGTTGTGTCTTTCCATTGTTTTCTAGCTACATTTAGGATTGTTTGCTGTTATTTATTTAGAATAATAATTGTATAACAATATTAATAACTTTATTTATAATCAATATAAATATATTTTTAATCATCCCATTTCTGGTTTTGTCCATATTTCGCCTAAAGTTGGGTGTGTGGGTATGGGGTGGTTCACCCAGGGTGCTATTTAAGCTAGCACTGCCACTAGCAGCAGTCGTTGCAGAAGAACAGAAACAGCGGAGCATGTGTTAATCAAGTGTGAAGATTATAGAAGAAAGAGAAACCAGATAGTTAGAAAGTTAGGAGATTTATTTGAAAGTTTATATATATATATATTTATATATATATATTTATATATATATATATATATATATATATATATATATATATATATATATATATATATATATATATATATATATATATATATATAAATAATGTAGAGTTATCCTTGCGCTCATTTAGGTCTCACACTACAACACAGTAGGTGGCGGAACTGCACCTTAAGCTGGTTTACCACCCGCCATCAAACCAGGAAGAAGTCAGAGGCGGAGAGTGCAGAGCTTTGCTGTTTGCTGTTGAATTGCTTTAACTCCACTTCTGTTTCGGGTGTTGTGCGTCTATTCAAAGTAAGTGTATTATATCTGACCTTTGTAGCGTTCGCAGATTTGCTGCAATTATCTTGCGGGTTGAACTGCTTTAACATATGTGCTCAATGCTAATATAGTCTCTTGTTTTTAGCTCGATGCTAGGCTGTAAACACTTCTGTAATGCGTTACTCACGGGTTATCTGGCCACCTTTCATTTGTGTCTCCATCTCATTCCTTCACTAAGTGCTTGTTTCAGAGGTGTGTTGTAAACAACTTCCCAACAAACACATCTGTTACAGCGTAGAAATGTAAGACTGGAGAGGCCTGTAGCAGCTGAGGAGATCTGGGTTTACTACATTTGATGCTGGGTTATTTACATATTGACTATTCTGCATATGAGAAGTAGACCTAAGAGTGTTTAAATACTGTTTAATATTGATTATTGATCTTTTTAACTTAATATCTGCTTGTGTAAACTTTGAAGAGAAATAAATATGTAACAAATAATATAATCAATCTTTATTTCATAGGCTAATAACATTGTTACCAAAACGTAAATAAAATCAGCAAAAATATAGAAAACAATAAATGGGTTATTTTGTTTTAACAGCATTTTTAAATAGTTTTTGTTTTATAAATGTTTAACTTTATTGCAAACGTGATCCAGAAACAGAATGTGGGATTAGTATAATAGTATAAAACACTTAATAATGAATGTATTACAGTATTGAGAGATAACTGTTGGCAATCAGAGACATGATCACGCTGCACACATGAGATGTAGAATCGGCCACTCAACACTTACACACATATTTACTGAACAGGGAAGAGAAACCTATGTGTAACTTGTGTGAGAATATTTTGATGGTGAAACATATTTTAATAGAGTGTATATTTGTAAATGATATTAGAGAATGTTTTTATTCAGGAAATATTTGAAGGCAAATGTTTAAAAATGTGTTTTCTGGAGGAATTTTACAATATTGATCATTGATCAGACTGAAAGAGCTTATAAGACTTTATCAGTGTTGCTGTTATTTGTGTGTTTTTAACCAACTAATGATGTTTCAGAAACAGTTATGATCATCAATTATATATTGAATATTTAATACAAGTGTTGTCATGAATATAGCCAGTGCTGCTGATATGCCATTAAAATATAATACATAAATAAAGTGAACCAGATATGTTAATGAGAAGAAAAAAGTAACTAAAGTAATTTTAATTTTGACAGATCTGCCCCTTCTCCTCCAGTGAAGCTCCTTCTCCTCCAGTGAAGCTCCTCCTCCTCCAGTGAAGCCCCTCCTCCTCCAGTTCAGCTGTAAACACTGTGATATTCCCATCAGGCTCCATTGAAGAGTTTATTGAAGGACAGCGAGAACATGAGTGATCCAGAACCCTGCAGAATTAAACATGAAAACACTGAACAACAAATAGGTTGGTGTTTATTCCTGATTCTTAACAGTGTTTTTACCATTTGTTTTCAATTTCCATGAGCGGCAGTTTCAGAAGAGAAGGCAGTAAAGCAAAAAGATGGCTAGAGGTGAGCGATCACTCGACGCAGAAGTATACACCAGGCTTTAGAATGGGGTCATGAACACTCACCTTAAGTCAGGCAAGTGTTATTGTGGAACTTTTGTGACCTCTTGAATTAGTCTCGGGGTAATTTTGATCAGCCACTCATGGGAAGGTTCTCCACTGTTCCATGTTTTTGCCATTTATAGATGATGGCTTTCACCACAGTTCGCTGCAGTCTAGAGCTTTAACTAAACAGGGTTTATTTTACATCAATGTGCATCATTGCCAATGTGTCCAGTGTCTTTCACTTCCGCTTTTGATTTTCTATGACTTAATAAAGCCTTAAACTTTATTTCAGACCTAATTGAAGAGTATGAGGAGATTAAAGAGGAGGAACGCCATATCAAAATTGAGGAAAATGATCGTTTACAGTCTGATGGTGATTTGAAAAAGAGAGACAAGAATCGTTTCACCTGCACTCAGTGTGGAAAAGGCTTTGGAAGATCAAACAATCTAAAGTGTCACATGAGGGTCCACACTGGAGAGAAACCGTTCACATGCACTCAGTGTGGGACGAGATTCAGCCGATTACAACACCTTAATCAACACATGAGGATCCACACCGGAGAGAAACCATTCACATGCACTCAGTGTGGGAAGAGTTTCAGCCAAACATCACACCTCAATACCCACATGCTGATCCACACTGGAGAGAAACCACTCACATGCACTCAGTGTGGGAGGAGTTTCAGCCACCAATCAACCCTTAATCTACACATGAGGAGCCACACCGGAGAGAAACCATTCACTTGCCATCGGTGTGGGAAGAGTTTCAGCCACTCAACAACCCTTAATAAACACATGCTGATCCACACTGGAGAGAGACCGTACTCATGCACTCTGTGTGAGAAGAGTTTCAACCAATCGTCATCCCTTAAACTGCACATGATGACCCACACTGGAGAGAGACCGTTCCCATGCACTCAGTGTGAGAAGCGTTTCGTCCAATCATCATCCCTCAAACTACACATGATCACCCACACTGGAGAGAAACCATTCGGATGCACTCAGTGTGGGAAGAATTTCAGCCACCCATCAACCCTTAATAAACACATGACGATCCACACTGGGGACAAATAAGCCACGTGCACTCTGCTTATCCACTGTCGGGCCAGGGCGTTCATCCTGCGAGGCTTAGTCAATGGCCCAGGAGGTCGAGCAGTGATGTTGAAATGGTCACATTTCCACAGTAAGGGCAATAGAACCCTGCTGCCAGACCACCCCCTGAATCCAACATCACACAACCCGCCCAGTCCAGCAGCAAGACGTAAGTCAAATCAGAATCACACTGATAAGTTGCACCACTGCATCATCACGAAGCGATCAAATAATTTACACTGTACGACAGTAAATTACATGTATTTTCATTAATTGTATTCGTCTAACTGAAGGCGTCACCCATAATCTAAAACCACAGGACTTTTCCGCCTATAACTCTGTGGCAAAGTATTCTAGAGCCTAACACCAAACACTCGCTGCCGGCAGCTAGCTCTCTGCAACCCTCACATGGTCGCCCACTAAAGCTAAGCAGGGTTGTGCCTGGTTAGTACCTGGATGGGAGACCACATGGGAAAGCTAGGTTGCTGCCCGAAGTGATGTTAGTGAGGCCAGCAGACGGCGCTCAACCTGCAGTCTATGTGAGTCCTAATGCCCCAGTATAGTGAAGAGGACTCTGTACTGCTCAGTGAGCGCCGTCTTTCGGATGAGACGTTAAACCAAGGTCCTAACTTTCTGTGGTCGTAAAATCCCTGGATGTCCTTTGAAAAAGAGTATGGGGTTAAACCCTGGCATCCTAACCATCCCCAATTGGCTTCCTCACTCTGTCTCCTCTCCACCAATCAGCTGGTGTGTAGTGCGCGGTCTGGCGCAACATGGCTGCCGTCACGTCATCCTGGTGAATGTGGATCCCCCATTGTGTAAAGCGCTTTGAGTGTCTAGAAAAGTGCTGTATAAATGTAAGGAATTATTAATATTATTCAACCCA